GGGAGACCTGGGTTCGATCCCTGGGTTGGGAAGATCCCCTGGAGGAGGGCATAGCAACCCACTCCAGTATCCTTGCCTGGAGAATCCCCATGGACAGAGAAGCCTGGCAGGCTACAATCCATAGGACTGCAAAGAGTTGGAGATGACTAGTGACTAAGTGCAGCACAGCACAGCAGGGAGACCACCTGGAGGGCAGGACCACGAGGAGGATAACCCCAGGAGACTTAAGCATACTCCTTAGCCAGTGACCCCATGCACCTTCCAGTCGGTATCTAATAAATCAAAGAATGTACCTGAAAAGGCATCAACCTGCTTTAGCCAAGTGGCTTATTTGTTAATTTCTTATATTTGCTACAACACCAAAGGTGTTGGTCTAGGTACAGCAGGAGATATTTGCTATTACATAGACTCCTTGTTCAGCCAACAAGTAATCTAAAGCAGTTCTATTACCTAAGACCACCTTCACAAGAAAGTCCAGGGACTTCTGTCGTGTAGTTGTTGCCTTATCAATAGATTTTGTGATAGTTGCGAGTTAAGGAACATTGTCTTCCTGTGCATTAACAGAGAGGGAAAGCAAGTAATTAAAAAGAAGGAATAAAGCTTTCACACTGGAGATTAAGATCTTGAACTGTGATCTTGAGAGAGCTGGTCACCTCGAGATGTCATCAGCTTCTGGAAAGGAACCTCTCTAGACAATTTTAATTTTAGATCTCCAGCTGGTGTGCCATTCTAGGAGTCTAGAGAAGCCCTTTTCAATTAGAGGGTGTGGATCCAAGGTTCAAGTCCCTGAACTTTGACTGCCATCTGGGTAGTGAGGAGATCCTGGAATGGTCCCTTCCAAAGAGTTTCAAAGGCAGTCTTTGTTCTTAATGATTCCAAATCAGAAATGTGGGAGAAAACTGGAAATGTTAGTTTGAAGAGTTGTAGCCAATATTTGAGGAAACTAGAACTCAGGATGCAGTTGATTTACAGGTATATAACAAAACCTCAAAGACAATGAACAGCACTAGAATCTGATATCCACAAAGCTGTGTTACCATTTTCTATGAAGCATAATTATTTCCTCTACAATCACCCTCATTTCTCTCAAAGATAATCACTATAAGACAAATTTGTCTGCAAGTGCTTAGTCTCATTAAATTTGGCCTGATTATTTAGATGAATGCAGTAAGAATAGTGATTGACCACAGAGATTCTCTTTAAATCTGCTTTGCTGATAATTTTTCATAAGGAATCTTATATTGGACTTTTAAAAGCCTCTCCAGGCTAAGAAACCAAACCAAAAACTCAACATTAGACTTCACCTGGTATATTTAAAGAGGTGACTGAATTCCTCTTTTTTTTAAAGTTTTCTTAGGTTTTTGGCCTTTTTTGGAGGTAGCCCTCTTTATTCACCTGGTAGGGCTTCCAGGAAGCCTTAAGCAAGGTACAAAGTTAGTTTTTCCAAGGAGCTTTTATTAGCTCCATAGAGTCAACCTGAGCTCCTTAAAAGTATCTGGTCAAATCTTAGGCATAAGGTTTTAGGCATATTCTCATATATACCCAAAAGCATAGAACTTAAGGAGGCTTGTCATCACTTACTACTTGATAATGCATCCCACACAATTTAGCATACCAAATAAACATAATTAATTTAACAACTCTCTTTCACAAGGTGACAGACAAATTCTTTGAGATTTTTCAGGCTTCCTCTAGGAAATTTCAAAGGTATTTTGAAGTCAAAAAGACTGCATTCACAATTTTATTTGGGGAAGTTGTCAAAATGTTTGAACATTTGACTAAATAGGATCTCAGATCATTATGAAGTAATACCTAATTATCAACTTAAGTTGACAATAGAAGATTTTAAAGGCAAACAGAATATTACATAGCTGTGAACAAAACTTAGATCTTTTAACATTGAGAAGACTGGGTTTTCTTATGTAATCAAAGTGCTGATAAGGACAAAGTAAAGCACAATAAATTAGTTTGGAAGGGACCAAATCTTTGTTTTCCAGGTAGATTACCCAAAAAGTTCAACCACAAACTTTTACAGTCCAAAGCAGACCAATATTCCAAGACAAATTTGTCCTTTTACAGAGAGAAAGCCAAATTCTACTTCTGTACCAGTGTACTTATGATATTAAAACTCATTCTTTAAAAATTTAAATAAATCCATTCTCATTTTAGTCAGCTTGACCATACATAAAATTCCTTTTTCACAAACCTTTTACAACTTTTTTTTTAACATCTATCAGGTTTTATCCTGTTTTTTTCTTTCTTATTCTCAACCAACCAGTTATTTTACTTTCTTCATGTACTTTTCACACAATTGTTTTCTTTAATTCTTATTTTTCTAAGCAGTTTTAATTACAAATATTGATTAGAAATTTAACTCTTAGAATTCTTTATTCTTAATGAAAATAAAGAAGTAAGAAACTGTGGACTATCAGAGTAGGATTCTGTGGATTGTCATATTCAAAAATAAATTTCACAATTTCTAGAAGTATAGTCTTCCTCATGGTAAAATGTTCAATGTGTTACAAAACATGTTTACTAATAGATCTGAATATTTTTAGCTCCTCTGTAAAATGAAGTCAAAAGTAAAGAAATCTTTGTCAGTAATCTATGTTTCACTATTTTATCTTATTCAGAAATGATTTGGATATTCAATGAATACCCATCATTTAACTGATCTCAGTATAACTTTAAGGCTTCAAGTTATGAAAAATATTTTGGAAATTATGTTTAAGTAAACATATCTTAAAACATTATCATTATTGAAAAGTGTGTTCATAAGCTTTAACCTTACATGCGTCTATTTAATTTACTTGGGTTTTTGTTTGTTTTGTTTTGCTTTGCTTTTTTTGCTGGACCACGCAGCTTGTAGGATCTTAGTTCCCCAACCAAGGATCAAATCTGTGCCTCCTGAAGTGAAAGAGGAACCCTAACCACAGAACCACCAGGGAATTCCCAAATTTGTTATTGTTGTGTTCAGTCAATAAGCTGTGCCCGACTCCTGGCAACCTCATGGACTGCAGCACACCAGGCTCCTCTGTTTTCCATTATCTCCTGGAGTCTGCTCAAATTCATGTCCATTGAGTCAGTGGTGTTATTTAACCATCTCATCCTCTGCTGCCCCCTTCTTATGCCTTCAATTTTTCCCAGCATCAGCCTCTTTTCCAATGAGTTGGCTCTTTGTGTCAGGTGACCAAAGTATTGGCACTTCAGCTTCAGCAACGGTCTTTCCAATGAACATTCAAGGTTGATTTCTTTTAGGATTGACTGATTTGATCTCCTTGCTGTCCAAGGCACTCTCAAGAGTCTTCGCCAGTACTACAGTTTGAAGGCATCAGTTCTTCAGTGCTCGGCCTTCTTTATGGTCCAACTCTCACATCCATACATGACTGCTGGAAAAATCATAGCTTTGACTAACCATACCTTCTCAAATTTATTTGTTCCTAATTATATTTAGTTGACTTATAAAAATATCATGCGACATTAAATAGCTAACCATCATGTTAAGTTATCCTTCTTGCCGACAAATTCTGTAACAAAGATAACATGAGCTTATTTGATTTTTAGTAAGTCCAGGTATAATGAAATTGTTATATTTAATGCTGTAGCTCTAAAGATATGCTTTTTAAAATTAAACCAACAAGCTTAAACTAGCTTTTATTTGTCAAAGATTATCCTAGATCACATGGACTTGAGAGACTTTTTGGTTAGTTTATATATTTCTGAGAGCATATTTGATTAATATAAATGTTAGTCTTCAAGCCAATTAAATAGAGCTCTTTACAAATTAATTTTGGAAATACTATTAGGAGGTAGAAAAATACTGCATATCTCTAACATCCATACATAGACATAGGAACATCAGGCAAATACAGACATTTTATAGCTTTAATTTTAAAGTTTTATCCATGAGGACTTCCCTCATGGTCCAGTGGTTAAGAGTCTACCTGCCAATGAAGGGGACATGGGTTCGATCCCTGGTCCAGGAAGATCCCACACGTGCAGGGTAACTAGACCCATGTGCCACAACTACTGAGCGCACATAGGCAAAGCACCGAGAGCCTGTGCCCCGCCCGGGAAGCCACTGCAATGACGAGTCCGAGCACCAGCAAGGAAGAGTCACCCTCTCGCTGCAACTAGAGAAAGTCCAAGCGCAGCAAGGAAGACCCAGCACTAACATAAATAAATCAGACAAGTATAATAATATAAAACTCACTAGTTTGTAAAAGAATGTTTGCATCCAAATTGTGTTTCTGATGAATAGCATAAATTACAGTTACCTCTCAATGACTTGGAGAAGGAAATGGCAACCCACTCCAGTATTCTTGCCTGGAGAATCCCACGGACAGAGGAAACTGGTGGGCTACAGTCCATGGGGTTGCAAAAGTCGGATATGACTTAGTGACTAAACCACCACCACCTTGAAGGCTAAGGCTCTTACTAATATTTGCAGAAAAGACTTTAAAATTTTTAATTCAGCTAACTTCCAAATGTCTTTTTTTTCTCCCTTAGATCAGGTAAAACATTTATATCTCAAAGACACAGAGAAAGGATAGGCTATCTCCAAGAAGGGCATTTTTTTCCTAAATGCAGATCCATAGCATCTTCAAGATGTTTGAGCTGTATAGGGGATTTGGGGGGGATTGGTAAAAAGGATGCTGCTGCTGCTAAGCCTCTTCAGTCATGTTCGACTCTGTGCGACCCCATAGACTGCAGCCCACCTGGCTCCTCTGTCCGTGGGATTCTCTAGGCAAGAATACTGGAGCAGGTTGCCATTTCCTTCTCCAAGGTAGAAAGGATAGGTGGCTTCAAATTGTGTATAGAACTGAATTTCTGTTTTAGTAAAGACTCAGTTTGTAAGGCAAGTATGGTTGCTTTTAATTCCTCAAAGAATTGAGTTGTGACTTCAAGAGGTTTACCCACCCACCCAAATACATCATCCTCAATTTGCTCATTTATATCAGGGAGATCTTCAACTAAAATGGAAATCAAAAGATTCCTACCTTATAGCTTTAGATCTGTGTGCCTTTGAAATGTGTAAGTAAATCCTTCCACAATGACTTCAGGACATTTTCTTTTCTTCTGAATACACAGGTTTATTCTAGCTTAGCCTAAAGAAAAGTTCCTACCAGGCTCCAAATATCATTTCAATTTGGCCAACTTGTGACCATAGGGAGACTTAAAAAAAAAATGCTTTTGAATATCTTGTTATGTTTCAATCAGAACAAATAGCAAAATTTCCTGGCAGTATTGAACAACCCCTGGATGAAGAGATATCCCCAAAGAGGATGCAAAAGAAACTACCCTCCCAAGACCCAGAGTTACTCCCAAAGATAACCAAACGAAAGAAAAACAGGAAATTCCCTTGAGAGCTGACAGAAGTCAGTAGGACCCTAGCCACAAATGGAATGCAACCCACAGTTCTGCACAATCAAATTTTGGGGGCCCCACCTAACAGATGGCAAGCCAACTTCTCAGGACACAAATTAAGATGAACAAGAAGGCAATAGATGTCCCTGGGAAATGAAGGATTAATAACTGTTTCTTCCTGCCAATCTGGATTTAGAAAGGAAGGGACAACGTGAAATTTTACTTCCCTCTCTTGACCAGGCACCACAGAAATCTAGGCAGGCTGACGTTGGTGAGGATTCTTACCCTTTTGGGGCCTCTGCCATTTTTCCTAGGATGCCATCTGCAGGCTCTGGAGAGAGGGGGGTGTCCCAGCAGAACTCAGCCTGGTCACCAGAAATTGAGTTCTCACACTGGACCCAGTTTAAGTCGGAACCAGTCCAACTCTGATGTGAAGAGCCGATTCATTGGAAAAGACCTTGTTGCTGGGAAGGATCAAGGGCAGGAGGGAAAGGGGGCAACAGAGGATGAGATGGTTGGATGGCATCACCGACTCAATGGACGTGAGTTTGAGCAAACCCAGGGAGATAGTGAAGGACAGGGAAGCCTGGTGTTCTGCAGTCCATGGGGTTGCAAAGAGTTGGACATGACTTAGCAACTGAACAATTAGCTCAACCCTGGACCCAGTCTGGTTTCTAAAGTAGACCCCGTCCAACTTCAGCAATTTCCAGAAAGAAATGGTCAAATGAAGTATAGATGAAGGATGGAGCGCCATTACCCAACACCTCCAGAGGCAGCGAGGAGAAGCTACTCAAGGGACTCCTCAGGAACCTTCACTGATGTTGCTCATTGCCCTTGAGGGCCGTCAAAGTTCTCCTCGGTTACCTCTTCAGTCATCAGACCTGTGAAAAGATAAACTGAGGCATGATAAAAGTCTAAGAGTTTATCTGAGCAAAAATCAAGTTAAATCTAGCAGTTCTGAACCAGAAGTGGTTAGGAGCACTTCTAAGGAGATAATTTCAAGTAGAGAAAAATAATTATATGGAAAAATTATTCACCATAGCAAAAAAAAATCTGAAAACAATTTAAATGTTCAACAGTAGGAATTTCACAAAATGAAAGATTATGTAGTCATGTTTAAAAGGTTTTCAGAGCTTGAAATAATATGGAAAAATATTATGAAGCAAAATTTTTTGTTCTGTAATTATAGCATTTTCTATGTAAAACTGTATAGGAGAAAAAGACAAATGTAAATCCATTGAAATGTTAAAAATGATTCAGAGAGGGTAGTTGGGGTGATTTTTATTTTTCTTTTTTATACTTTTTTGTATTTTCTAAATTTTCCATAATTAGCTAATATTAATTTAATATTAGGAAAAAGTTTTTTTAAGTAAACTGTGCCTATCATTTTAAAATATAGATGAATTTATGCAATTGGCTAGAGAAAATTAAATCTTTAACCTCTGCCATTTTTCCTCTGCATAAATTCAACTAATAGGAAATCATATTATTTTATTGCAAAAATATTTTTTTCATACCACTTTAATACAAGCAGAAGTGACTTTAATTTGAGTCAAACAAAGTATAATTGTTTTCTCATTTTCTTTTTTTAGCTACTCTGTGCTCTGGCATTTGAGATCTTAGTTCCCCAACCAGGGATCGAACCCACGTACCCTGCCTTGGGAGTGCATAGTCTCAACCACTGGACCACCAGAAAGTCCCTAGAATTGTTTATTCATGATTGCACCCAGATGCAGAAAATTTTAATGGGTTATTGAAAGTAAAGTGTGTGACGTATAACAAAATCAGGCAATTTACAATCTCATTATGGGGCTCATTACTTTTTAAAAGCCCTGATGGACACCTAACCACATGAATAGACTTAGTGTCCCTAATGGTAGGACAAATTGACATTCTATTTCTCCTAATGGGATGCTTCATTTACAGATAGGGTGTCTAAACCAAGACATTCTTGACACTGAAAGACACTATTTACAGTTACACCAGGACAGGAGACAAATGGGGATAAATGATCACCCCACTGATGAGGTATTTAGGCCAAAATATTTAATACTTATGTAATCAAAACTTTGACCTAACTTTTGGTTTACATGAAGCACAGGTGATAGAAAAATGAGCTAAATGACCCAAAAGGAAATGGATGGACAGTGGTGGAACCTCCTGCAAGACAACTGGCCTCACCAAAAGGTCAATATACTGGGGAAAATGTTGGGATGAGTAGGACATTCTAGAGTTACAGAGATACAACCAAGTGTAATATATGAACCTTGGTTGGTTCCAGGAGAAACTTGACTCCAGAGTTGGTATCAGGGATTTCTCTGGCAGTCCAGTGGTTAAAACTCCACACTTCCACTGCAGGGGGCATAGGTTCGATCCCTGGTTGGGGAATGAAGATCTCACATGCCTCAAGATGTGGCCAAAAATAAATAAATAAAAATTTTTTTAAAAAGTTTATATCAGAGGGAACTTAAGAGTTGTTTGCATTTTCATATGCAGGATAAATCTAAGTGACTATGTGTGAGAATGTCCTTTTTGCTGGAGATACATGCTAGAATACTTAAAGTGAGATGTCATGATGTCTGCAATACATTATATAAAAGCTTATTCCCTCAGTATATGTGCGTGCTGTGCTATGTTAAGTCAATTCAGTCATGTCCAACTCTGTGTGACCCTATGGACTGTAACCCATCAGGCTCATCTATCCATGGGATTCTTCAGGCAAGAATACTGGAGTGAATTGCCATTCCCTTCTCCAGGTACTCTTCCTGACCCAGGGATAGAATCAGCATCTTACCTTTAACCTGCATTGGCAGGCAGGTTCTTTACCACTAGTGCCACCTGGAAAGCCCACTTTAACACATATGCATACATGTGAAGTAAAAAATGGAAAAATATTAACAATTCTTTATGGTTGTTTATTATACTATACTATACTATACTATACTAATTTTTTAATGTTTGAAATATCTATAATAAAAATTAGGACCAAAAATTCTCTTAGAAAAATATTCACAGATATCTAGGCTTGCTTTTATGCATTTTGATTTATACCCCTTGGGTATTCTGAGTAGAATTTTTATCCTATTCTGTCTGATGTAATTTACTGGACTTTATTTTTATGTGTACTTTGGGATTTGGGAGATTATGTTAAAAATGTGTCTTGATGAAAGAAATGTGCAATTATTGCAAATTGAGTATAAACATTATCCTTTAGTGATCTTTCCACATCTATCTTTTCTAATCAGAGTAGGGCTTATAAATTAAACATATCCTTTTAATCTGCTCATGCATTACTACACAGTGTGTGTGTGTGCGTGTTTGTGTGAATGTGTGTGTATTTAAACCCCAGCCTGGCATTTTCTTTGAAACATTGTCATGGCAGAAGATTATTACAGTTATTGATCATGCCTAGAAAGTTGTGAGAGTTCATGTAACTTTATAAAAAACACAGAAAACAAAACTCAAGTTTATAGTCCCCCTTGCTCTATCACCAACCAAAACAGAAATTTCCAAAGCAATGCTTCAAGAGACTATCATATTATCACTATTTTTTTAAAAATTTTTTTTTCATTTACAAGGTTGTCTAAGCTTCCACAGAAATGAGTTTTTCATTACAGAACTAGGTGATATGGAACATAGTTTGGTGACTGGTCACCCCCTGCATCACAGGACAATCTGATGAGACCAACCCATCCAAAATGTGAGATCAAGGATTCAGATTAGAAAGTAAGACATTTTCTTCCACGCCATCATTTCCCAAAGTATGACTCACAGAGCTAAAAGTTGAAAAAAAAAAAATTGAAAAACTTGAAAAAAAAATCCTAATAAAATAAGTTTGGGAAATTCTGGGTTAAATAAAGTTAAACTGATCTCTTTACTGTAGGACTTCTGAGAATGTTAAATATACTAATGTACTTTGTCAACCTCCATCATTTCCAAAATGTAGTGCCCACAAAATTCTTTTTATTGTTGGAATTCTATTTCAGGAAACCAGTGTTCTGAGAAAAAAGTTTCAAAGATGTTGTTGGAAGATGCTTTTCTGCTTAAAAATTCTCCCACCTCTGACTCTCATCCTCTTCATTGTGAAAAATAGTTACAGCTTATGAAGCATTTGCTATGTGTGAGAGAGGTATTTCACAGATAAGAAAACTGGAAACTGAAGCTCAGAGAGGTTATGTATCTGCTCAGAGTCACAGAGGCATGAAATGTCAGTTGTTATTCTCACCCAGGTCTGACCCCAAAGTTTATGTTTCTCTCATATCATCAAATTGACCACTTGGGGGGAAAAGGTCAATTCTTTAAAGATGAGATAGAAAATATTTTAACAAATCTAGTTGTAATCTAAAACCCATAATAGACTCTAGTATATACGATCAGCAAGGTCTCTCTGAGGCTGGGATGGAACTTAAGCTACCTGTGTGGTTGATTCCCCACGCTCTGTCTCAGACGAGACTCCAGAATTTGCTTTGAAATGTAACCACCTGCATTAACTGTAATTCACTGGAATGGAGAGATAGGCCATCTTCCTCATACTCTGAGCCGTTTCCTCATTGCCTCTGAGCAGAGCTGGCATAAGTCTTTGTATCACAGGCCAAAACCTCCACGTCAGAAAGTAATGAGAGGGTTCCCAGAGGACCGAGCAGAGGGTGAGCATAGTGGAAAAACATCAACCCTGCCAAAGCCACAGGCCAAAATCTGGGACTTCATTAAAAAATAATAATCACCTGGGATTATTCTACCATTGCAAAGATCCCGCACCCCTCTGCAGCCCCTGGGGACTCAGGCGGTAAAGAATCTGCCTGCAATGCAGGAGACCTGGGCTCCATCCCTGGAGAATTCCATGGACAGAGGAGCCTGGTGGGGTCACCAAGAGTCAGACATGACTGAGCGACTAACACTTTCACCTTCTTTTCTAACTCCTCTCTCACTTCCGACTCACTGTTCATTCCTACCAGAGAGAAAGAAAGAAGAGCTCTAGCTCTCAGAGGCTGTGCAACAGTCCTGAATTTTCTCCATCTCAGCACTCTCTAGTAGAAATGCACATATGTATGTAATGTAACCCACATATATTATTTTTAAATTTGCCAGTGGCAACATTTAAAAAGTACAAAGAAACAATTAAAAAACTAGAAATACTTTATCACTATTCAGATTTCATAAGATTGTAAGTCGTTCAGTCGTGTCTGACTATTTGCCACCCAATGAAATAACCCGCCAGGCTCCTCTGTCCATGGGATTCTCCAGGCAAGAATACTGGAGTAGGCAGCCATTCCCTCTTCCGGGAGATCTTTCCGACCCAGGAATCAAACCCAGGTCTCCTGCATTGCAGGCAGATTCCTTACTGTCTGAGCCACCACGGAA